GATATTCTGGACTTTAAGCTATTGATAGGGTACTACTTTCTAATTAATTGTGCACCAATTTGTTGGCAGGCTTTTAAAAGCCAGGGAAGAGTACACCAGCTGGTTATCAGTATCAAATGGTCAACTCTGACAACACACAAGATAACATTATACAGATTGAGCAGGTTATATGTATGTATTTAGAAACACACCCATCGACACATACACATGTAACAGCAATAAAAGAAAAATAGGCCATGGATTTAAAAGACAGCAAGGGGGTAAGCGCATGGGAGGGTTGGGGGATGGTAAGGGCAGGGATAAAGGATGGAAATATAGTCTCAACAATTATTTTTTATAGAAGCCTGATACTTTTCTTTCTGAAACTAAGAAGAATTTGGAGACCAAAGCACCAAGCTAGTGATTTGTTTTGATTAGCAGTTAAAGGCCTACTTGGGGCACCATGTACTACTACTCCCTTTCTGGTTCAAGCATTGGGCTGTTTGGATGTACCCCACGTGGTGTAAGTAGTTAATGCTGTGCAGCCCAACGCACATACTAATTTATAAAAAAAGGCTGTGCTCGCTCTATAGTGCCAGATCTGCTGCCCGTTATTTGCTTCTGCTGTTGAAGGAGAAAAATAAGTCTTAGATATTACAGCTGTCACCATGACATCTGTTCTTCCGGGATCCATGGCTGCCTCGTTCACCACCTGACCCAGGTCCTCACCATGACATTCTGTCCACTATTAAACTGTGAAAGGCGAGCACCCTCCAGGTGGGACTTCAAGGTTGACATACCAAGGTGTTTGTCTCTGTCCCCCTGACTGCCTCTCAATTGAAAAACACAGCCTCACTTGGTGCAGAATTGATGGCAACCCAGGCCTCCCAGGGGTCAAGGGGAGCAGCTGAAAGCAAGCTTTCTTGAGGCATGGTCCTGTTCTGTGTTTAATCACTTGTCAGGGCACCACAGGGCCTCAGCCCTTTCAGAGGTGTCCCTTTTGTTCTTGGCTGGTGGTGGCTATCCTCTTCCCTCAGAGGGATGACTCCAGGTAATGAAACAGCAGTAGGGACACATACACACATCTCAGCTTAGAAAACAGATTGGGGAGGGATCATTTGTCCTCACAACACATGGAGAATGTGTGGCTTTTAGAAACCCAGCTCCCTCTCTGGCTGCCGGTGCTTAGTTGAGATGGTTAATGAGGTAACAGAATGCTAACTCCAAGTGGTGACATCACAAGGTAGAAGAGGATCCCGTGGGTTGTTCAAATAAGCCCCTCCTAGCCACTTACCAGAAGGGAATGTGTCTATCAATTGAGGAGCTTCGCTGCTATGAAGAGTTCTCCTTCCCAGAATTCATCCCTACTTTTTCTGCTTGTCCATTCTTTCATTCAGAGTCCATTCATTGAGAAATTGTATGCCCTAGGTCAGACGCTGAGAACTGAGGTAGAAAAGGAAGAAATAGACAAAATTCCTTCTTCCCTAAAGTTCAGCTCAACAACAAATGCCAAGACCCACAGTTGTGTTTGGGGCTAAGTGTTTCCATGTAGTGGGGAAAAAAAGCTAACTACACCTGGCCTCCTAGTCATCTGATAGCCAGCCAAAGGCAATTCACTTCAGTGTATCCTGTACCAATGGTTTAACCAGCATATACCCAGGCTTGGGTAACTGGAAGGGTGAGGAAAACACTAAAAATCAAAGTTTTTAATTTATACATTTTCTGTAATAAACATAAGTCTAATATCTGATTGAGTAATAAATATCAGCAATTATATAACAACTGCAATGAAAATAAAATTGGATAAAGTTGAAAGAAATGATATAGGTATGTGACTCATGCTTAGCTTTCCTTGTAAATCTAAAATTTTGACCTCAGCATCCATTTTTCTTGGCCCTTTCTTTGCATTAACTTCCCTTCCAAACAGTTAATATTCTGAGGCCTTTGCTGTGCTTCAGACAAAATGGTATCAAAAGATAGTCTTTAGGAGCACAGGCTTCTGACGTAGCAGGGCAGAGTTTAACGGGAGTTGGATCATATGTCAGAAGGGGTTAACATTCTAGAACACATTTTTGGAAATGTTTTCTGAGAGTAGAAATTTGGAAAGGAGCTGCCCTCAGTTCTATGTGTTTACTAGTGAGATGGTTCCCCACTTCCTGGCTGCTTTCATAGCTGAGCCTTTCAGGCAGTGTGGCTCTATAGGAAGAGGAGGAGGACATTGCTTCATTCTAATGGAAGTTGAAGATCACATTCGGGAACAGTATTCCCCTCACCCAGGGAAACAATTACAGAGATGCTTCCATTCTTTTGTGATTGGAATGTGTGGGAAAAGAGGGGAAGAAATATATGTTATGAGAATCTAATATATCCCTTAAAGTTTGTACTTAAAAGCTACCCACAGCATTCTTGATTACCTCACGGTGAGGCCAGGGTTGAGCTGTTTGCAGTGACAGCCCATCAGGTTGAACATGTAGCAGAAGGCCCAGAAAACCAGCCCAAAGACAAACTATGCAAAGCAGTGGGTTTGCGAATGCCTGTAGGGAGGAGACAGAGACCAGTGGAGCTGTAAACTACTGCCAGGCCATAATAAAACATGGTCACAGAATACGATCGGATGGTTTGCTTTTTTTGCCCCCCGCAGCAAGAGCCCTTTCTTCTTGTTTGTGCTGATTGGTACTTTCATGGACACACATGAAGAAAGCAGGCATCTTAAATGAAGAGGACTTTACGTCCTTAGAGTAAACACTGAGATATATCAGGTTTACCTCACTGGAGCCCACAAGGGCCTGTTGTTACATGATAGGTCCCTGGCTTTCCTCAGGCCTAATAGGGTGTGTGGAGTTTTGAAGCACATGGAGCTGATAGGAAAGTGGTAGCGTTGATAGATGCCAAAGCTAATAAAACCAAGAATGAAATCAGCTCAACTCTTGAAAGAATTAGAAAGGTTTGAGTATGTACAGAGCTGTACTGCTATATTATAATCACAGTGACCAGTGAGCCCCTGCAGTATCACCAGTCTCAAATGAGAAGGGTTGTCCACACAAAATACAAAACAAACTTTTAAGACTACTATTTACAAAAAACAAGAACAACCTCAGTAAAATGTGTAATCAATTATATGTTAAAATAATGATATTTAGGATACATTCAGATAACATGCTAAATTAAAATCCTGCAACTTTTAATGTTTTGTGGCCACATAAAGTGTACAATTGTATGTGTGGCTTGCCCTTGCAGTGTGAGGTTTCAATCTGGTTTCTGTTGGTGTCCACTGGACTACAGAATTTTTGCCAGCAGTGGGCTGAATAGGGGAGAAGACAAGATGGATACCTGTATGAGTGATTTAAAGGTTTCTAAGGCATGCCTTATTATTGGGCAATGCCAGAGTCCCGTGGCATGTCCTAAACTATAATAAGGTTTTCGGTAAAGTCCCATTCACCACATTGGCTTGGAATAGAAACATTGTGTACCTGACAACATGAAAGGAAAGGCATAGACGGGCAGGGCTGACACCGGAGAATTCGGACAATTCACTCAACATATAAAGGTACTTTTCAGCAGCCCCTACAATTAGAGAAATTCAGAACAATTAACGGGTTTGGAAGTCCCCAAGGAGTCCCTTTCAGAAAGCCTCTTGTCTTAAAGAAACTCTCAAGAGAATCAAAGGCACGTGCTGTTTTAATGGGACTCTGCTGTGTGAGGACTGTGCTCTAGGATTTCCAGCATGCTGAACCTTTCCCTCTGTTTCATCCTAGAAGACATTCTCATACGAACAGGAGCATCAGAGAGAGAACAATCTTTGTTCATGTGAAGCCACGTCAGGCACGAAGGCCACCTTGGGAGACCTGTCTGGGTCACTCCACCCTCAATGCTCTCTGCTCCCCAAGATGTTTTCCAATCCCAGTGTAATTATCTCCATCATGGAGGAGGCTCCGGGTGCGTTTATTCACCCTTCCCTGTGACTGGAAAATGTATTCCATATTCAGAAGTCAGTAATTAAAATCAGCTAATCTGCATTCAACTTTGAAAGCACAGGCTACGCCTCCCTTGCCTCAGCCAGGAGGTAGGAGCACTGACGTCTGTGCACAACTCTGATTGGCTGGTGAGCAGTTAGGACAGGTGCAATAATCTAATCTGGAATATTGCTCTCCTCACCTTTTTTAATAAACATTTTGCCTCTGCACAGACCTTAATATAACAGCAGTAAAGGCAAAGGAGGAAATTGGAAACACGGCCAGGAGGGTGCCTTATGGTTCATAACAACCCTAAATTGTGACTGTTTATTAAAAGTAACACCCTTTTGTGAGGGTGTGGATCAGAATAGTCACTGATGTCTCTTCTTTGATATTTCCTTTTTTTTCCCCCCTTTAAATAGTGCTGAGTTTACGTTTCAGTTGTAGGATTTAATTAAGTTTCCAAAATTGCTTCTGACTTAAACGTTGACCTAAAAAAGTCACTTGCTCTCTCTAATTTAGCCCCCATCAAATCTTTCCATCATTTATTTCAATCTGCGGGAGATGTTTGTGCATGAATTACTCCTTGGACCATAGGGATGAGAAAGAGTTAAGTCAGGTAAAGCAAGGCAGAGTAGGATGGCCAGGGAACTGCCTCACAAAACACAATGAAGGGCCTTTCCCAGGCCTGGGGCTCTCTGGAGCGGCCAGGGGATGGAGGACAGAGTACAATGTCCTCCTTGTCCTCAGACCTCCCTTTTGTTTCAGCAGCACTTTGGCTCCCACACATGCAAAAGTTTGAATTTCCTGTTGGCTCTGAGGTGAGATTTATAACATTTATTAAGGTTGCTATTCATTGCGAGTTTACTGGGCAATAAGCCTAAGAGCTTTTAGGGGCTTAATTGCCTATGTTTATGGGGGGTTGCAAAGCTCCCCACAGTGTCACTGTCAGCCAGGTTGGCCAAATGTGGACTTCTTGATGTGTCCAGGGAGCACGTCCTGGTCCAAAGGGAAGGTCAAGTGAAGGCCGAAGGCCTGAAAGGGAGGCACTTACCTTCACGTGCTAGGTTGACTTTCTGTTCCGGCTATTTTGGTCCTCTTCCCACAGGCTCTTTCAACCTCCTTCTGGCTATCTTTGAAGCCATACATGAATGTCCCAACTTCTCCAGAACAAGAAGGAGAAATAATGTGGGTGGAGGTGGGGTGGTAGGGACGGAGGTGAACATGTATACAAAATAATGTGGACTAAACAGGTGTTTCACATGCACTGTCATGTGGGATCTTAACAAAAGTGCAGGAAAGCAGAGATTTCTACCCTTCACTTGATAAATGAGGAAGCTGAGACAAATAAATTCAGTAACTTGCTGAAATCGAAACAGCTAGCCAATGGAGGATGGAAATGTATTCATTTTCTTTTGTTTTAATTGTGTGTATGTCCGTGTCTGTCTATGTGGTGTCTGTGCATGTATGGTGTGTGTGTGTGTGTCTGTGTCTGTGTGTGTCTGTGCATGTGTGTGGTGTATGTGTGTATGTGTATGCACTCACCTATGCATGCTTCTGTGGAAGCTACAGGTTGTCAGTTTCTGGTATCTTTCTCTTTGCTATCTACCTTATTTTTTGAGACAGGGTCTCTCACTGACCCTGGTACTCATTCACTCATCTAGCCTGGCTGGCTACAGAGATTCCCCTGTCTTTGCCTGTCCCCAACCCCAGCACTGGATGGAGTTACAGGTATATGCCATCATGGCCAACTTTGACATGGCTGTTGGGGATCGGGATGCAGGCCCTCATGCTTGAACAGCAAGCAGTTTGCCCACTGACTTGTATTCAATAAACTTGTGACTTTCCTCTTGTTGATCTGTTTTATGTTACTGGGGCCATGACTGAAAATCAAGGGGTTTAAAGGGAAAGAAATTGTTTCCTCTTTCCAGGATGACACAGGAAGCTGGGACAGTCATCCTGGCCCCTGGAGCAGACTGGAGACAAAGTCCTGAGATCTCCTCCATTCGTTCACTTGTTCCCTTACTAGCAGCTGTTCTGTAAGCCCCTGTGTGCTAGGTGAAATGCATGGTGAATGCTATGCCTTGTTCCTCTGTCTGTTTCCTTCTGCTGCATCGAGGAAGACCAGATGCTGTCTTGTGCTCTGTCTCTTACAAGCTCTCTCAAGGTTCCCATAGGAGGTCTGCCGTGGTGACCAATTTCCCAGACTGTTGCCTGAAGATAGTTCTAGCACAAAGAAGAAACAAATGAACAGGAGGAAAGTCAAAGAGCTGTGTGTTTTTCATATGAAAGAAATACATTAAATAACACTACACACCTATACGCACATATGGATTGCCTGTGTATGTATGTATATATCACTCCGATAGTCTTGTCCAAATTGTCTTTATGGATTTACAGCTGGACTTCTAACAGCAGACAGCTTACTGGCACAGAGGACTGAGCATTTGAGCCATCATTGTTAGAGATGTATTGTTCAGGACACTTGCTAATTTATTGATGCAGCAGCAGAGGTGGAATCAGATTCAGTTGAAGAATAAATTGGAATATTTTTGTGCATTTCTTTCTTTCTTTCTTTTTTCTTTTTTTAAAAAAAGCCACTTTAAAACCTATGTGTTAAAATGACAAAAATTTTAAATAGGGGTTCTCTTTTTCTAAACAAAAGATATGCAAATTACAATTCAAGATTTATATTATGATAAAAACTGAAATACAAAAGAGTCATTATCCTGCAAAATGTAAAAGTGCAGTTGCTTCATGAGTAGGTAATGATATAATGGGGTGTTGATGTAGTAAGAGGTGTCAGGAAAGAGACAATGACCTCAAAATTTTAAGTCAGAAACGGAAGATTTAAACAGTAAGTATCTACCAATCCACCTGACTATCCATCCAGCTATTGGATACTGCAATTCTGAGAATTTGAGAGGAAGAACAGCCTATTTTTATCTCCTAATAGTGTAGCCGTCAGGGATGGAGGGAGGGTTAGGGAATTAATTTTCATGCAACCACCCTGAAACAGGATAAAGATTTACTGTGAATTATAGTTTTATAGGCCTGTTTCTCATTAAAAAAAAATCATTGATGTGCAGTTAGGGGGACTGGAAACCATTCCAAAGCCTAGGTACAAGGTCAGTGCCCTAGTCCCAGGGTCAAGGATGCCAAGACTCCTTGCATAAGAAAGATTTGCTGTTAGTTTATAGGATGTCCTTCCTGATTGTTTAAGCTTTCAAAAGGTACTCACTTGATATCCCAGGCAGCAATCTTCCTGCCTCAGCTTCCTGAGTGACGGGATTACAGGTGTGTACTACCATGCCTGGTCATAGAAAAAAGCAGTTTCCACCTGGGCATTCTGCATCCGTGAAGCAAATAGCCTGTGTCAGAACAGAATAGATTCTGCTAAAGGATATCACAGGCAAAGTACAGCAGAGTGGTACTTAGGTTTAAGATTATTCCACCAGCTTATTTTCAAAACATAACCTCCCACCCCGCCTGCTCTCTCTCTCTCTGTTATGTGTGTGTGTGTGTTCGTATGTATGGGCACACGCACACGTGCCTACACGTGCACATACACGTGTGTTCCAATGGAGCCCTGGTTAAAGTAATCAAGTGATGGGCCACATGTGAAGCAGATGTACAGACCCTTCCTACTCCTAAACAGAGCAGAAGGCCTGCTTTGGCTTTCTTTGGCAGGAATTTATATACTCGCTTCACCATTTGATCTCAATTTAAACAAAGGACGTGGGTTTTAGCCACCACTGATTTCAGGACCACAGCTCTGTCTTATTTCTGCAGGGAACTGGCGTTATGACACTTGGACACTTGGACAATCCTGCACAGTGTGCAAGGATCTCCAGTGTTTATTTATTGTTTTAGTGAGCCAGCCCTTGTTTTCGAGGTTTTCGGGTGTGTAATTGACTGCACCACACGCTTCAGGCAGAAGGATCATACTTTCATACAGATGTCAGAACCTTGGCAAAGCCTTCCCAAATTGCAGGACAAACCCCATATACCAGCTGGGACTGCAACTGAGGCCTAAGAAAATACTCCTGGTGGCTTTGCAGTTCAGAAAGTTGCTGAGGGTCTTCTGTCAGGGGAAGCACATGGTTTATGATTTTTGAGCCTGCGCAACAGTCCTTTCTATTTCATCTTGACTTAATGTCATTAGTCTCCTTCAGAGAAACCGGAGCGTTCATTTTCTAATCTATCTAGATGATACGCTGACAGCATTTCCCCTGATCCAGACTTTACCATTGATGTCTCTGCCTCTGTTAATCATTTTCAGAAATGAGATTTATGGTAAAAAAGGATTAAATCAATTCTGACTACCTCCAAATTTCTAGGATTTTGAGGCTTCTTGATGAACATGGAAACCATAGCCCCTCGGAGAAGCTTTGCTGAGGAGATCTTTCTCGCCTTTGTCTGCTCGCCTCTCACAGCTGGTCTGTTCTCTGCGGATCATAGCAAGTCAACCGCTCCACGGTTTGTTTGGCAACCATACCACAGGAGCTGCCCTCCGAGAAACTCGAGCTGGTTTTGATTGGAAATAGATGAGTAAGATATCAATCTTTCTCTGCTTCATTTTCCTGCCTTCCTTCCTTGCCTTCAACCCCATCCGAAAATGACTACCCTTAGGAAAGGTGTCAACCTATTTCAATTAAGTGTTTGTCTTTTGAGCTTCTCATCACAGGGTAAATTATGGCATTTTTATCACCCAGAGCCAAAGAGAAAAATTGCGCTGGTCCAAATTAAATCACAGCTTATTTTCTTTCTAATTTCTCTAATCTGCAATTGGCATCAAATAATTTCACTAGTATGTACAGGGCCTTATGCACTAGAAGGGCTTCCCCAGAAATAATCAGCTGGCTTTGTCTCCCGCTCGTCTTTGCTCCTGTTTCTTTTTCCATATTTCCTCTCACCATTTGCTCCATTGAGCAGATTTTTACCTTTATCCTTAGTGACCCAAGATCACCTCCTCTCTCACTCACTGGGGAAGAAGGGCATGGATTGAGTTCCCTGACTTTTCTTCCTCTCATGAAGGGCGTTGTCTCTGCAAAAGGACAATGACCACACTATCTTATTTCTCATCCTGTATCTAGGTGACCAGACTCTCATGCCTTTAAATTCAGCCAAATCCTCCAAAATTTGGCCTAAACTCTTTCCAATTTGTCCTTCTGTGTACAGTCTTGAGCGTATGTACATCATAATCTGTGGTTTGATTCCCAAGAGGATACTCATCTCCTTGATCTAGGAAAGTCTTTTGACTTTGCAAGCATTTCCTTTGGTGTGCTATATTCTGGGTCCTGGATACAACTTTCAACTGGATTCCTAACCAGAATATGCTCCCAATCTTTCCCCATACCATCCTACCTGGTCATCACGGTGTCTGCTATAGCCACTGAGTTTGGAGCATACAGAAGTAGAGTCAGCAATGTGGCAAACATTTCCTGAATGTCTTTGCTCTTATCTGGGTGAGCTGGCCTTGGTTGTATGTTCTCAAATCACTGGAGTATCTCTCTGTTTTGCTAATGAGGGCTAAGGGTTTGCCTATGTAAGAATTGTATCCTGTACACACAAAGTGTTCAATGTCCAGAATCCATGGCTCTAGACATTGGAAAGTATCTTTGTGGCAGATAAACAAAGAGGTGATAGAATATCTTCCACTTACTTGGACTGAGATAATATGGTTTGTATTAGTGTCCAGAAGTGTTATTCTTATTAGAAAAGCAATTCTTCAAGATGTGATTTTTTTTCCGTAAGGAAATAAGAAATATCAACAAGAGTACCTTGTTTCTTTGTTAGTTGATAAAAAGGGGCTTGTCAACTGGAAGTGGACTAACAAATATTACTAACATCTAGTTTAAGGGATTCTGTAAGTCAGGTCATAAGCCTGGGTACACTAACACCTGTACCCAAAAGTTACTTGCTGTGTATGTAAGATACTGGCTAATCCATTGAAGATGAAAAGAGGATGTATAATGTTATAAACAACAGTTTTCCTGGCTTGGGATGAATCATATAACAGGGTTTAGCTCATAAATATTGATGGTGTTCTAAAGGGAGCTAACTGATTTACAACCAAGACAGTCGCAATAAAACTTGACCTAGGATCATTGGTGGCTTCTGGTGTGGGAGACCTTTGTAATCATCGAGGACCTTATACCTATTATCCATCTAGATGTTGCCATCTTGGAATTCTAAATAATGTGATATGAATTTGTGTTTTTGAAGTGAGTTCTAGAGGGGAAAAAAAAAAACTTGTGCATGCACAGAAGAAACTTGTGTAAAACAGCATAGCCCATGTCCATTTTTTCTGGCTTAACATTTGTGGGAGACTGTAGGAGTCCAGTTCCTACCTTTCCCACCTTTTCTAAGGTTTTTAGGAGGAGGAGAGAGGGATTAGAAAATATCAGATAGAAAGAGAGACCTAGCCAACAAGAAGAAAGACAGAAACACAGGATAGCTTCAGGAGGGCCTGGATCAATACCCAATAGCCCCAAAGGTTTATTCAAAAGGCTTTTTATAACATGCCCAGGAGAGAGGCAAAAGACCTCCCCCTTGCAAGATTAAAACACACAATACAGCCAAGTGTAGACCCTTCCAAACACCTGGTAACCACGCCCATAGTCAAATCATCGCATTATGCAGCCCTGCTGGGTAAAGCAAGCTCAAATTCCCTGACCCTGAGTAAGTTCTCACTAGGAAACCTCTGACACTTTACATACAACTTGTATGATGCCCAATGTGTGTGATTCCATAGGGAATCAGATGTGTGGGAGTAAAGGGAAGTTCTAAGAAAGTACAAGACAAAGGTGCCACATGTAGGACTGAGTTATTTGTGGAGGAAAGGCTGTGGGAAGTGGGGCACTAGTGTCACTGTGATGCCATACTTTCCACTCTAGCAAGAATGGCTTTAGGGGCTGGACAGACGGTTCCATGGTTAAGAGTACACTCTCCTCTTGCAGAAGAGCCAAGTACAGTTCCTAGCACACATGTCAGGCTCACAACTACCTGTAACTCCAGTTTCAGAGGAGTTGACAACTTTTTTTGTCCTCGTCAGACACCCACACACACACATGTTTACATGTACACAAACAAACACACAAGCATACACATAAAAGTATTAAATAATAATTACTCTAAAAATTTGGATCCTATGCATATTACAGAAAAAAGGCATGGAATTCCAAGAAGTATAAATCATCAAGGAACTCTGTCATATCTATCCACACTTCTGTGTGTTATACAACCATTAATTCTGGTAAAGAAGGGTAAATAGAGAAGAAATGACAGAGCAGCCCATAGGTCCTTTTCCTTTGAGTCCCTATAAATGGGAAATCTCAAAGCAGACTGTTAATAGAAAGTGCTGGAAAATAGTAGCAGTTAGGTTTTCACCACTGTTTTGGTAATGAAATACACATGCATGTCAGAGTTACAATTGCACAGTTTCATAAATTCCATATACAATGTACATGCCCTAATAGTACCATTTAGAACTAGCTTTATAGAATGTAAAGATGAGCAGGAGAATTCATGCTAATGATTAAAATGACTAGTTTCCTTTTATTTATTAACAATAACATTAAATAGAAAGTTAAAAACATCATGGCCATAAACTAGAAGTGCCAAAGAAGATGGGAATGAGTATAGTTAATAATATATTTTTTCTATTTTCTGAACAAAACCCTCCCAATTTTCCTTTCACAATGAGCTTCACAAATTACGCAGCACCTAAGTGTCTTGAAGGACCCAGAGAAACAAAGACTCTCTATTGGAAGTAATATCTATGTGACTTGAAATCAATTTCCTGATTTGGCTCAAAGGCATCAAAATGAAAATGTGAATACTCAAACATATTTGTTCAATGCCATTATATATTAATATCCTCCTACTGAGTGTAGGCTTAGAAAAGTAAACTTGCCCCAAATGCATGATAAATTCTCAATTTTCTCCTGGTTACACTATGCTCTTTAATTTTCTGTGTATTCGACTCTTAAATATTCACCTGCAATTGACTTTGGGGTAAAACGCAAAAGTTAATCTTTTCTCAAACTGTTGCATGTTGCTTCACATATCTGTCTGCTACATTACACCAATACTCCTGTGCTCTGATTGTGAGCTCCGTGAAAACATTTTGATCAATGCCTTCTATTTCTGTCTCATGGCTGTTTGTTGGACCTGAACACTGTCCACTTCATGTCTTCCTGGGGTCTCAGCTCACCTCAAGATCTTTATGGAAGTTGTCTCTTCTGCAACCTTAATCATACACACCAACATTTCCATGTTATCTGTGTGTGTGTATGTGTATGTGTGCATGTGTGTATGCATCTAGAGGCCCGAGGTCAACATCAGATGTTTCTTGGGTACTCCCAAGTTACTTTTTCAGACAGGGAACTCATCAGTTAAGCTAGACTCTGTACAGCTGTCCCCAGGAAATTGATCCATCTCCATTTCTAATCTCACCATTGGTGGGATTACATGCCCAGGCACTACACTTGGCTTTTTATGTGAGTTCAGGAACTCAGACTTGGGTCTTCAGGCTTGTACACTTGCCATGGCAAGCACTTCACAGACTGAGCTTTCTCCATAGACTCCTTTCTATGTAATCTTATATATTACTCCTATTTTACCACTCTTCTGTTAGGGAACATGGAGATGTTTTAGGTATCAGACACACAGATGACATAATTATTCCTGTTATTTAATTATTCCTGTTGTTTATTTATATTATTATACATGTTATATATGTTATTAAATTAAATAATTGCTAGTGTTTAGTCATGCCTGGCACTATTCTAAACCATATATGTGTGTGTGTGTATATATATATATATATATATATATATATATTCATATATACATATTCACATATATATATTTTCATTTGTAGTCTCTCAACAAATCATTGAGGGAGTTCCAAGCACCATCTATTTACAGATGACAAAACACAGACACAGAGAGGTCAAGTAATGTGTCAAAGAGCTGCTATGTACAGAAGTCAAATTCCAACCCATTAATTCTCCTTTCCTTGTAAGAAAAGATATTGGGTACTTCATAGCACCACACTTTAGTATGATATAATACTGATAAATGAATATGCATTTAAAGAGGCTCTACTTCCAAATGGCCAAGAGAACAGGGGAGCAGCAGCTAATGAGATGCACACCCAAAACTGCCTGTCAGCACAATCCACCCACTCTGTGCTTTTATGGTTCTGTCTTATTTTGTTTGGTCACTGGTTTTCCTTTGCTTTTGGAAAACAGATTTCTCTGGGAAAAGTGCCTTTGCTTTGGTTTTCCACTGGAGACTGAAGCACAAAAGTCTGCATGTCTTGCTCACTCTCACAGATGCTGGTACTATCATGGGACTGCATTGTGACACACTCAGAATTTTCTAGCAGGACCACCCAGAAAGCTATAGCAGTGCTGAGTACTGGCCAGATGTTTTCTTGAACTTGGGAGCCTGCACAAGTGGACAATACCTGCCTTCTGCTATCAGCTGAGCCTGTATCCCCCTTAAAAACACCCAGCATACAATCT